AGCTTGATCTGTGTCAGTCTCCACATATCTCAAATCGACATCCTTTCTTGATAATCAATGAAAGTATGCTGGAATATCGCCAATAAATGTCTGGATATTCGCCAATAAAGTACTGGATTTTAGTCAAAAGTCCATGGACTTTCGCCGAAGTGTTCTTGTACTTTCACCAATTGGCGAACGTCTACTGAACTTTCGCCAATAAACTGCAGCACTTTTGCCATTGGCGAATGTCCTGTTGGCGAAAGTCTTATTGGCGGAATTTGGGAACCCCTTTATTTTTTCGATTTGTGCAATAAAAAACCTGGTTGTTATTAAAAAAATTAAGCAAAGAAAAACCAAAGTTATCTTCGCTTTAATAAAGCAGAATCGGTAGCGTTAAAAGATAGAAATGCATAAGTAGAAACTCGTATATACCACTGCCGAGAAAATAAATCGACGAGTAAAGCAAGACACAGTTCATACAATTTCTCATCATCATTAATGTAAGTGCCAGGAAAATTGAGTGTATGTCTGGTCAAACTATCATTCCACTGTGCAGAAGTAACTGTAATGAATGTTTTTCGTGTTTTTTGTGCAAGAGATTTTTTATTGTATTACACTAATGTACATCAGTTTTTTCAAGAAGAGCAGTTGATTGCTTTGTCGGAATTTGCACAGGCCAGATGGTTACAAAAAACCGTTTTTTTTCATAATGAAGAAATTAGACGTCTCTCGTGTATACGATGCTTGTATGGCGTAAAATCAACTTTCCAGGTGAAGAACGGAGCTTATTCGCACAAAAAAATTTAGCGGGAAAGGTCAGGGAACGGGGCATCGTCCCCGGTGAAACTTGAGCGGCGGCGAGGTCGGAGAGCGATGCTAAAAATCTTCATCCCGCTGACTTTTATCTTGAACTACCCGATCTTCCAGCTGCATCTCAAAACTCAGAAACTGTTTTTGGTCCGGCTGATCGGCTTCCAGAAAGACCGAGTATAGCAAGCAAAATTTAGAAAAAAACGATTTTTATCTCAGATAAACTATAGAAATGCATTCTTGAGTGAGAACATCGGACTTAAACATTTTTCTTCGAAATCGAAATAGTTTTTCCAATGTCTTACCGCTCAAAAGGGCCGACAACTGCCATCTAGCTCCATACGCTCCAAGTAGGCTGCTAATCTCGCTTGATTTTAGAAGTTTTTTGAACTTTACTAACTTCACCGTAAATATCACCGGACGAGCGATAATAACGATTAGCGGAACGAACCGATAATAGCGAAACGATAATTGTTAAGAACGGATAAAACCGATCACGACTTTCGGTAATATACGGTCAACCCACAACAATGAAGCGATAAAATTTCATTGCTGTAGCATACCTACTCTCCGGAATGTATATCAAATCGCGTTTGTCGCAGCCGAATACCTTCCTCTACTGAATTATTAGTACTATCAAGTGGAAATTGGTTGTGTAGCCACATATCAAAGGAATTTCATTTCGTTGTTCTTATTTTCAGGCACAGCCTATGGTGTTGGTTGTTATTTCTCAGCATCAGCCAGATACAGTCACAGTTATGCAAAAGCGAATGTGTATGGTGGTGAACGATGTATGTTTCTCACACGAGTTTTAGTTGGTAGAACAACTCTGGGTAGTTCATCCATGAAAACACCACCATCGGGTTATGATACAACAACAGATGGTAGTAATATCTTTGTTACCTATCATGATGCACAGGCATATGCTGATTATTTAATCACATACAAGTGAACGCAAAGAGACCTATACAAACAGTAGCTTTAAATATTTTTTCAGTGATTAAAATTCAATGGTTGCAAAAAAACCTTTTCTTTAAAACTCACTAAAAACCTTGTCAGTGTAGAGTCTAATGACGCTAAAAGTTGAAACTCCCTTTTGTGAGATTTTTCCTTAATTCGCATGAAATATTCACCAAGGATTTTTAAGGAGAATAAAGCAGAAAACAGCAAGCGGGAGTAAACACAAAAACAGAGTACAGATGGAGAGTACAATATGAAGAGGATCTGTCTTTCAAGCTAAGAGATGGTGTCTGTAACTGTAAGAGG